CTCTGAGGTTTTACAAATGCTCTCCTTTGCCTGGAACATATCTCTGTCCTCCTACACACACGCACAGCACACAGAGCTTACTCCCACCCAGCCCTTCTCAGTTTAAACGTCGCTTGTTTAAAGAGGACTCTTCTGATTTACTGATCAAAAACCATTTCTTCCCCTTCTTATTCTCTTGCATAGAACCTTTTTTTGTTCTTAATACCATAATGTTGGGGTACCTTAACTGAAATGAATGGAAAGGCAGACAGGAAATCAGGCAGATGAGGAATAAAATATTACTTTTTTAACTTTAGACAATGTATCAGGCTCTGGAAACTATGGATAGATTCCAACCTCCCATAGGATTTACAGCTTGGAAGGGCAACACAGAATTCTGGCTGCTGGTGAGAAAGAGGGGATGAAAAAGCAGGGCTCATGTGCCCACACAGGGCAGAATGTGTGTGTTGGGGGGGCTGAAGATGGAGACAAAAAAAGGCCAAGGGATTAGAAACTCCATCTACATGAAGGAAAGATTGGGAGTAGGGGAAAAGTATTTCCTCTTAAAATGTATTAATTTGAACAATATGCAATGACCATTTTTGAGGTTAAATATGGACAAATATTAGCAAATTCATGTGCTTAAACAATATCATATATGTATGCATGCATAGATCTACTATGTAGTATATGTAATATATGTGTCTACATATGTACTGTATAGTATACTGTTATTTTTATGTATGTCTATATATAGACATAGATGTACTTGTATAATTATTTGGGTTACACCTGCCTGTGCTATCATACTGTAAGTTCCAAAAAGATAGAGAAGTCAGTCTACATTGTTTATCTCATCTCTGACTCATCATATCTTATATCTACAGAAATCAGTTGAGTGAATAGCCTCAAAGTGTTTAACATGTTATTTTACTTTAGAAACTCATTAGATGCTAGGTCTGATGATCGCACTGCTATTGCTGCTGCTGCTAAAACATTTCTAATATATTGGGTAATAACTTTTGATCTGGGCTGTGTATTTCTACAACTTCCATTTCAGAAATCCATAAGCTTGCCTCAAGGGTTGCTAACATAGCTTGTCTTTCAAGGATCATATTTTCAGGAAACATCCCATAGTTGCAACCTCTACAGTTCCTAAGTTACAACCTCAAGGAGAAACAGGGTGAATAGGACTATAGCAAACTTGAGAGTGTATATTCCTGCCCCAAAAGGGCAGCCAGTTTTCCAAGTTGTTCAGACTTGCTTTGTTGGAATATGAGTTCACTGTTATCTGACATGATTTTCCAAGAAAAGTTGAAAATCCATACTTAGTGTAAAATCTTCTAAATTTGGGGAATGAATTAAAAATTGCAAAACCCTACCTGAGAGATACTTCATACTTTCCATGGGCAGCTAGCTTGTGACCTCTGCTTTTATGGCAGTTGTTCTGTGGCATGAGGTTCGATCAATCCTTTCCTTATTTTTCATTTATATTTTACATGGATATTAACTTGTGTTTTTCAAATTAGTTCTTTGACAGTTCAATTTCATTACTTTATAAGGGATTTTGCTGTTGCTTTTGTATTTCTACCTCTCTTCTGTGTCTCTAAATCCCTCCCCCTTTATTTTCTTGATGTCAGAAGAGCTTTCAAGATTAAATATGTATTATTAGGGTAGCATTTCTAGCAAAAGGAAAAAAATGGTGCTACAGTACAAAGGAATAGAATTTTGTGGTGTGTTCAGTCAACTTAATTTTGGAAATACGTGAGAAAATCTGACACAACCAAGTGGAAGCAATGATTTTCCACTTAAAACATGTATTTCATCTGCAAATCCATCAGGCAATAGTTAGGTTCTCTGGAATTTCTCTTTTCCTTAAGGAACTTTTTTTCCACAGAAAAATAAAATTAGATTTTTATGTCAGCAGTGGTAGAAACTAATGTCAACAATTCTAAAATTCAATCTATTTTAGGATACAGGAGTATTTTCTATGACAGGAGGAAAAAAATGTCAGTGACCTTCCTAATTACTGAGAATTTTTCTTATGTACATATGAAAATGCTCTTAGAGAGTTACTTAGACACAGATTTTTATCAAATATCACACTGCTGTTTGCTTAACTTTTCGCAAAAACCGAGTGTAATATTTTCAAAGACATTTTAAATGACAGTTAAACTCAATATGTGTAGCAATGTCAGTGCAAGTAACTGAAAAGATGACAATATAAACTTGTTTTTATAACTGTGATTAAGTTCATGACCATGTAAGCAATGCCAATTTATGTAATTCATTTTAAGATGAATATTCATTTCAGAAGCCATACAGTAAAAAAGTATGTGTATCAATATCAATGAAATACTCTAATCTCTAGTGCCTAAATGATCTGAAATATTAGTTTTATAGAAAAATGTATATTAATTTAAAAAATATTTAGTGATTTCTGAAATCTTACATTTTAAAATAAATTATTTCCACAATACCATTAGCTTTTGGTCAGTATTGTAATTGACCTGACAGTATTTTATACTGTTCCTTTGTCTCCCTTATAGTAGACATCCAATAAGAGGTTTCCTTTTGGTGAGAAAGAGTCAATAAAAGTTGCAACTCTCAAGACTTGTAACAAAGTACCAACCTTTCTGTCTCAGTTTCTTCAAAGGCTAAAAAAGGAAATTATAATAGTCCTTACCTTCCAGCCTTATTAGGATCAAAAGATTTTATAATGTTTATCAATGCCTTGTACCTAGAATCTCTGTATCACAGGAGCTCTACCTTCCCTCAATTATTGTACATGAATTTGCACTACTTAGACTCTGGAATTGGGTATGTAGTCTGAAACATCTTCAATTAGTCATCATTTAGGATACATGCAGAGATCATCTGACGAAACTGCCTTAAAAAATCAAGGAAGTGAAGATACTTAAAACAGATTAAGAATCACTTATGGGGGTATGACCTCTTAGTTGTAATTGTCCCAGGACAGTGCAAGCATACTTTCAAAAACTATTCAAAAAAATAAAACCCAAACAAATTGGTGGAGATAACTAATGTATGTAGTTAGGATGAATGAGAAAAAGCAACTTCTTAATATAAAGCAAGTGGGAACCTGTGGTTTATAATAATATTCCCAGGGACAGAATAATAAAAGGATTTAAAAAGTTGCTTGTTTTCAAGAATTTATAAAGAAATGAAAGCAATGTGCTCTGGAAAAAACAAAACACTGATTAAAAATGTGGCTCTGATGTTGAAGTCACTGATGTCAGAGTTGGATGTTAAAGTTTGAATAAAATTATTTTATAAAATATGAGTGACAAAGGCAGAATTTATACTTTAATGTATAATTTTTTATAAATATTTATCTAAAATGAATTAAATATTATAAGTAGACATATGCCTATTTAATTTACATCCCTAAAATTTTATATTTGGTGAAAATAACATTGGTTTTTCCTTTAGAAAACAATGGTGAGATTACTTTAAATTCCTTTCTGTAAATAATTCTGGGTTTCAGAGATTTGAAAAGGCTTGAGAGGAAGGTAGGATTTGAATGTGATCTAGAAGAATAATTGGAGAAAATAGAGTAGAACTAAATGTATTGAGGGACTACTGTTTTCTAGGTGCCTTAGGTATGTAATTACACTAAATTCTCATAGCTATTATTATTCTTAGTTTACAGACTGGGAAACTGAAACTCAGGTAAGTTAATGAGTTTGCTCAAAATGCCACAACATACACAATCAGGCTTCATTTTGAGGCTTTTTCAATTCATGCACTGTGCTTTCTCTAACGGGCCGTCTGGTGCAGAGACTAGATCTTAGAGAAGACTGGATTGGAGTTCTCTCTCCCTTATAGTCCTAACTGGTATAAATTCCTCAACTTCTCTTTCTTCAGGTTTTGTTTTGTTTTTTTTTGAACAAAACTGTCTCTTCAAGGAGCTGTGAAATAACTGAATGAGCTTTTGCAAATGAAGTGTTGGGATTAACAACTGGCACATAAATGTTCTATGGATGTTAGCCTCCATGATGTGAGGAAAAGGGGAAGGAGGAGAAGGAGGAGGAGAGGCATAAGATTTCCACTCTCTCAATTACCTGTTTCAGAAGTAGAGTGCATTCTGGGTAGGAGGGATGGCAGAAGCAGACACAAATTCTGGCGAGGACACAGCTATTATCTATTTTTTTACTAAAGTCGACTAACTAGGGGTGAATCCTGTCTAGAAGGAAATTACTGGGGATATATCCTCCAATGGCCTTGGAAATAACAGATTTTCATATACCCAAATTCTTATAAAGTTGATTTTCTAATCTATTTTTCTCTCTGAATGCCTCACTGTGAAGGCTGCTAAATAAATAATTTATAGCCTACCAATACAGCCTTAATGTGTTAATTCCTATTTACTACTTACCCTCTTTAAGTCTCAATTAAGCCTTTATTGTATTTATAAAACTAGAAAAAGAATGAAGAGTTGTTATAATTGAAAGTTGTTATATATATGCAACATGTATGTTAGGTGTTTGGTTAGAGCCCAGTATGATTAATGAGCAATTAATAAAAGGTAGTTTTTGCCGTATTTCCTCAGAAGTCTTTTATTTTCTTCCATATATTAAGGCTCTTAAGACCAGAATGGGCCTTATAACCAGTGTATACATTCAGTGGGGAAGCATTTTTCTTTCACTTCCCAGCGCTATTATTAAATCATTCGTGTGCCTTACAGCTCTTATTTCCTCTCAGAGAAGACTGTAAATCCAGAGGTTGTATTATGTTAGCTAACCACTGCATTCTCAAATTCCCAAGAAGTAACAGTTCAATGCATTTTTTTAAACAATAAAAACTGAATTATACTCAAGAAACTTAAGATATTGCAAAGAGACAGTGAATCCCAATTAGTTTACAAAACCTACCAAGAGAAGTAACTTGAGGACAAAGCAGCGCTTGACGTTCTGAGACATACCATAACCAATGTAAGAATTTCTGTTTATTTATAACCCACCTTGTTCAGAAAAGGATTTAAGATGGCTTACAAAGATAAAAATAAATGAAAAGTATGTGAGAACTCAGAAAGACAGAGAGAGGGAGAAAGAATACAGAGCATGAATCTGAAGGAAGCCAAGAAAGCTACATAAATAAAATTCCACAGGGATCCAAAGAAAAGGCAATTCTTGGGGTTCAGAAAACGTCAAGATAAACTTCCTGGTGGAAACAGGACTTGCTATGAAGTATTTGGTTCAAAAGAAACAGGAGAGTTGGTGTCTCTAGGGCATGCATGTCCCAACTGCTTCAAAGTCTGCGCCAGCAGGAGGGTGTTTTTGGTGGGCAGGTTCTCTGGGGAAGATGAGGCCTCCAAAGGGCCTGGGCTCCTGGGAAGCCTCCTACATGCTGGACTTCACCAATTAACTAATTTTCATAATAAGCTCACTGCTTTCCCTAATTGTTTCACTTCCATCAACAGGGCCAAGGGAAAGATAAGAACACTCCATGTGTAGGGGAGAGAATTTCAGGTACAGTCTGTGAAGAGATGTTTAGAGTTGACCTTTGAACTCACTGGCAAACAAGTGGATTTTATGGACTCTCAGGTATTGGAAGCACAAAAGGCTTTTTTTTTTAATCCCCTTATTTTTCTTTTTTTTGGCCGCTCCTGATTATCACTTCCAAGAGCAAAGTGAGTCAAGGTTCAGCTCCAGGGGAAATCTCAGGTGTGAGAAAAGCTGGGGTTTGGTTATCTTTTCCCTTCAGGGGAAGAAGAATAGAAATGGGAATTTAGAAACTTAAGTGAGAAGGTGGTATTCCTCCCGGGATGAGCTCAGATCTAAATCGAAAATTACCTCCACCCCGTAAAGCTGTGTCTTCTTGGGCAAGCTTCTGTGCCCCTCAAACTCAACTAGAAAGTGGGGCTGTTAATCTTTCCTCACAGTGAGGGCATGAAGGAGAATCCTATGTAATGGACTCAGTCGCACCTGCACGGGGCTTTGTAAATAGATTCCCGAGCCCATTGAATGCAACTTTACCAAGAAGCAGCCTGGGAAAATTAGCGTCCTGTATGAGTCTTAAGTTTGGGAAACGGTGAAGTAACATGGAAAGTACTTAGCAGAGCAATACTCATATAATCGGTACTGGTGAGGTTCCGCCCATTGCCCAAGCAACCCGCCATCAATGCGCACGGACAAAACAACCGGCCGGCAGGAGCCGGGGAATCAGGGTTATCGGCATCCCCCTCCCGGGAGGGTAATACCCTCGCCGATCTGCGCTCCCGGACGCGCTTTCGCAGCTTCTGCAGCCCCGCCGGGCCAGGAGCTCGGGGCCGAGGTGAGCCAGGTGGCGAGGGTGCCAGGCGCGGCCAAGTCGCGGCGGACTGAGTCAGCCGCCCAAGCACGCGGCGGAACCAGGGCGGCCGGCTCTGCCGCCCACACAGCTGAGCCGCGGCTCGGGGCGCCGGCTCGCCCCCGCGCTGGCCGAGAGGAAGCGGCCGGGGCTCCGCGCGGCAGCACCTGGGCAGGCGCCGGCGGTGGGCGCGGCGCTTCCGGAGCTGCGCGCGGCCCGCGCTCCCCGCCTCCAGGTGCGGCGGCCGCGGCGCGCCGGCCCGAGTGACAGCGCCGCCCGCGCGGCCGCGGCCGGGCAGCAGACGCGGTGCAGGCAGCCGGCGGGGTCTGCGAAGGACGAGGCCTGGCTCCGGGGACAGACGGGTCTGGACGAGCGAGGGGCGCAGAGAGAGCTGCGCGCGCCCGGACTTCCCCCGCCCGCGTCGTCTCGCCTCTCCTCGGAGCTCGGCTGCCGGCGCGCAAGGCGAGTACGGCGGCCGCGGGTGGGCTGGGCGCCGTGGCCGTGGGCTTGGCCGGGGTGGGCGCGTCGTCTCAGGCCGGGCCGGGGTTTTTCGGCACTTTTCCGGGTAAATTTCCAGAGCGCAAAGTGCTGGGCTCTGGTTTTTGCCTCCTAGGATTTCGCTCCCGCGTGTGGGCGTCTAAAAAGAAACCAGACTCGGTAAGTGATAGAAAAACTCCACTTATTAAAGGGATTTGGCCGGAGGGTGGGGGGCGGTGGTGCATGACAATCTGGATAGGCAACTAGTCATCCCCTCCACTCCCCCCAAAAATGAAAAGGAGCTGCCCTTTAACGAGTTTCAGGCACCAAGTTATTTATTCGGTAGAGATAATGAGTTTCCTTCCGATCTCTGTGCTCCCCCGCACCCTGCTTGTTACACTCTGAGATGACAGGCCTGTTAATTACGTTTAATTACAATCATTTGGCCTCTACCTGCCTGAACCCAGCACCTTACACGGGAACCTGTAGGCAGTGAGTTTACCAGCTGGATCTTTCTCGTTTACTTTTGGAGACAGGTCTCTTAGGAGAATGGGTGTCCATCTCATTTAGTAAAGTTAAGTTCACCCTGGCTTGGTTTCTCAAACACTTCCTTCACCTCCTTGTGGTGATCTGGAGTTATTTTGATTGGGAGAAGTCTTACTGAAACTACATTGTGAACTATAACCTTTGAACATTAGGGGAAAAATAGAAGCTAGGTTGTATGGAATCATGATATAGGCTGTTGCGGTTTGGTGATAGAAACATATTTTTGTTGTTGCAGGGTTGTCCTTGAAGTAGGCTGTTCAGTGAAATACATCCTTGTGTTTTTTGTGTTTTAAGTGTATTGCAAAAGAGGCTATTTTTAAAAGTACATTTAATTGGATGTCATTGTGATTACCAATAATAGTATTGTACTTACAAGGTCAGTATTGATTCCAGCCTCACTTAAGCACTCCATACCTGCTCCAGTTTATGGAGCATTGCCCATAAGTAATTGGAATATGAAGTTATGGCTGTTACAAAAAAGGAGCTAACTTTAAGGAAGAAAGACATACGTCTAAACTCTTAGCTATGGCTTCCATGCACTTAAAAGAGAAGAAGTGAGAAAAAAATTCTCATGACATTCCACTATTTAATGATGTTTAAAAAAGAAAAAAACAAAAACAAAAGTGGGTCGTAGAATTAGGCTAGAGCCCTAAGTGGAAATATCTCTATGGCTCCTTTTTAAACATGTATTTAACCCATACACATTTAAGGTGAATTTAACACCAAGAGTTTTATATAGACTTGATTGGTCAGTACTTGACAATTTATTTAAAATGTACCTAGAGGGTAAGTCAAATGACTTGTTAAAACTTATTTATATGGGTGTGTGTTTGTATTTTTTCTTTCCTCTGTAAGGCTGTCAGACGTTTATATGGGTTGTCCATGAAAGGAGAAGCTGCTGGTACATTTAAAAACAAATTCTTGATCTGATATCACTATAGATTTCTAGCAGTGTGAGGCACAAAGATATTTAACACTTTTCAATTCAATTATTCTTAGTTCCTGTAGTTAAGTAGAGGACTGAGGTTATAATAAACTGCATTTTTTCCCTGGGAAGTCTTACATTAGTACCATGAAATTATGTTATAAAATTGTGAAGTGTTAATATTAAAAATAAAACTGCCAGTTTTTTTTTTACCAGCAAAATGGGTTTATTCAGGAATAGCAAAGAATTGCAATTCAGGACTTGCCAGCTAGGCAAAACCATAGGCAAGCCCAACAAAGGAGAGGAACTTTATGGAGAAAAAGGAGGAACTGGGGAGGCCGTTTTGAATGAAAGTCCATTGGTCCATTGAAGAAAAGTTGGAGTTAAGGTGATGAGGTTTCTCATTGGCTGAGTTGCTGACGTACTCAGTTTCTTCTTGGAGCTTCAGTCCCTGTTGCGGCCTGTGATTGATGATTCCTTCTTGCTGATGATTCTTCTATAGGGGCCTGTAATTGACAGTTCTTCCTAAAATTGACATGGAGTGGAATGGCTCCCCCTTCTAGCCTCCCACTCCACTTTAGTGAGGTTTCTTATTAATTTTCACAGTATAAATGATGGTCATTGCTTTAATAGCTTTCTTTTAACAAGTGTTTTTTTTTTTCAGTTATTTATTGACTCATTCATTGAATCCAATCGTTGCACTTACTAAATAAACTAAGGTGTTTTTTGAATTCTTTGTAAAATATTAATTAGGTAGAAAGCTTCTTATTAATGTTGGAAATATTTCTTAACTTTGACCAAATATGGATTGATGAGAGATTAGAAGCTATGAGCTATCTTCTTAATCTTTTCTGTGATGTCCTGGAGCCTTGCAGCTTATCATTTAAAATTTTTCTTTTTTAAGTTTTGACCAGAGTAGGTATATAATAATGGTTAAACCATTTTGCTCACTTATTCCCTTAGTTGAAATAATAGGCAAGGACGGTCTCTTCACAGAATCCTTTCTAGTTAGAAATTTGATCTGTGAAATTTTATTACAGCTTTGACTCAGCATAAGCTTACCTCCCTACCCATGCTATGCAGAAAACAAAGGGGTCCTGATCTGGGTTGGAGGTGTTTTGTGCAGCTTCAGGAATAAAAACTACTGGTGAAGAGGTGGGAAGAATTGTTTTTCCATCTTCATTTGTGTACAAAGGAGGATGGGTAGGTGAGGAAAGTAGCCACCAGAGAAGGACTAATAAGGTTGTATATCTGCCCTTACGGTTCTCAGAATGGATGCGAAGAAGAACTCTGTGGGTTACATTGAATAAATTTAGGAAGAGAGAGTAGTAAATCATTTCGGAGTTGGACAGATGATCAAGAGCAGGAAAGAAGTGTGGCCTGAATGCTGATTATCAGGTGACTTGGAGTCATGGTGGTAGTGATGGTGAAAGTCATTGCCAAGACTCTCACGGATCTTGATGAAGTTCATAATCCTTAGCCTGCTCCTAGGGCCCTCTATAGCCAATTTCAGCTCCCTGTTCTGATACCGCTGTTCATTACATGTTGAACCTTAGGTCCTCCCAGCTGTTTTCATCTCGCTGTTGCCTGAAGACATCTTCTCCCTGGGCGCCCCCTTATGGCATTCTTTCTGCTTCAGATACTGCTGGCTCCGCCTGCTACTTTTCTTCCTATATTGAAAGTCTCTTCCATGGCCCTTGCACTGATCACGCCGTCCACAAAGCTCTGAATTGCTGCAGATTTCGCTTTCACTGAGAGTTGATTTTAAGATTTTTACAGTTCCTTGGTACTTGTAAGGAAGGATAATGGTGTGCCTTCTTTATGAAATTAAAAATAAAACAATACTTAAAATGCACACCATGTGAATGTCAAGGTCACACAATTTCGTTTTTCTTATCACTATTTAAGTGGTTTTTTTTTGGATTCGTCAGTCTTCCAATCCTGGTATTCCTTCTTTACTGGCACTTACTGAGTAGCAGGGAACTGATTGTTCACGTGTGTGCTATTTGCCCTTGCTTCAGTAATGATTAATTTACCTCTTTAGATTTTAAGCTATTTGAGAAAAGACATTGCTTCTTTACTTTCTTGTAGCACTTAATACTATTCACAAATGAGATAATAGGTACTGTTATCTTGAACTGCAAATATTTCCGGGTATTATCTTGGCCAGGGTAGATAATGTTTCTTAAATATTATCGAATGAATAAATGTAAATAAATGAGTCAATAAGTTGGGAGACATTTGCTGAGATGCCCTCTTTTCCTAAGAAAAAGAGACTTTGACAATTACAGAACCAATAGGAATAAGCCCTCAGATTCAGTTGGAAAAGAGGTCAGGGTGCTATTTATAAATGCAGAGAGAGGAAACCATTCACAGTAGGCTATTTTGAAACATCTGGTTAGTCTAAAAATGTGACTCAAACTCAGAGAAATGGTGAGGTATATATTTATTTGAAGTTAAAATATGTATGTATAAAAACTGCACATTTGTATACATTTAAAAATCTTATTGAAGTATAATGGCATGCTAGTTGTGACCTAAGTGTATTAAACACTAGATTCATGTTCAGTGTAGCATGAAATAGATCAGAATTCTGAAGAATATGTGCCCAGTGTTCACTTCAAGAGTTCTAACAGGTCTGATTATCCTCCTTTGGGCTAGATGTGGCCAGACTGTACAGAGGGGTGGAAGGGGGCTGGAACTGAGTGGAGGCAGCCTCCCACGTGTTAGGGGCATATAGGTGGGAGTCTTCCTCAGTAAGACAGACTTCAGCTTATTCTTTCTTTTTATTATCCCCATGTCTATTCTTGTTGGAATTCAGGAAGATGAAACCTTTCTCTGGTTATCCAAGAATTATGGTAAAGACCTCTGGATTAGAATTGAAAATAATTCTCAAACGTTAGCCAGTTAACCTAAAATCTAGATGGATAGCTTTTAAAAGAAAAGACTGACAGAAGCTAAGTTAATAATTATCAAGCACTTTTGAGAGATTATGTAAAACACCTAAACCTAGGTACTACTTAGGCTACTTAAAACT